CATTTATGTGTTGAGCCAGGGGTGCTCATTAGGCAGGAGCTCTCTCTCCTGCATCAGGCACCATAATAAAGTAATGCCTGCCTAAGGCTACATTGATCTTAAGGAGTTTCATTCCCTAATTTTGGTGACACAGGGAGCTTTAGGAAACCAGCAAAAGGGTGAAGCAAGTGCAGATGCAGGTGGGTGGGGGGAGGCTGTGGGCAGTGATGAAGTGCCAACAACCAGAAAGAAATCTGAGGGCAATCAAGAGAGACATCAGAGCCTCGGAACAACTGATGGAGGGAGTTTCTTATCCACGATATTTTGTTGGAATTGCTACTTTCCCTCCAGCCACAGAACTAGACGTGTCATCTTAGTGGACAATCAGGTTGCTCAGCCACAATCTGGCCGTGGTCAATCCATGGTGACTGTTTCAGGTCCCCTTCTTGCCCTTCATGTACTTCTGGGAGGATGGAACCCATGATCCTCCCATGGCCTGAGGAGAAGGGAAACTACCCAGGCAGATGAGGTTCAACAATGGCAGCACAGGAGCAACAAAAAGAAAAGATTCAATGGGAGTTCAGGAAAAACTAACCTGAGAAAAATAACCATACAGGCCACCACATTGCCTGTGGAAAACTGGGAATTGAGACCATATCCTTCCACAGACCCTTCCAACTGCTGGGTTTCAACCATCCCACTCATTGTAGGAATTATACAGCCCCCACCTAGACTGTGGTAGGAGTTACACAGAGGCCACTGCAACAGGGCTCGTCCCTAAATTGTGCTTCATAAAAAGAATCAGAGAGGGTTCCTTCTTCTGCTGTGTTTATTATGCAATGGTAGTTACAACTTGAGCTTGGTGCCTCCAAAGAGAGGCCCTGCTTGTCGACTGCTAAAGGATTTTGTAGTCTCTATAGGTCACTTGGTTTCCTGATGGTACTTCTGCTCATCCAACCCTGTTTGCCATGCCAGGGCTTTTCTCTTCTGATTCCTTCTAGCAGCCTCATGACCCCCTTTTTGTCTGTTTCTGGAGACATTTTGTTGCCTTTGGTTACATGATATCCCTTAGTTAAAGTTTTACTTGTACTTCCTTATCTACTGCTTACAGTTCTACAGATCAAATAAAGGCTAAAATACAATTCCTGGGGCCTAAGGCTTTATTTATTTTAGTCAATAGTGCTAAGCTATGACACAAATTAGTCTCTCCCTACACATTGGTGGTGAAGGAGTAGAAGTTTCCATGCATTGTGCCATCATCTGAAACCCTGGACTTGTGGCTTCCACTCTCTGGGACAGGACACATATATCACGTGTCAGGTGTTTAGAAGAGATGGGTTGGAAACAACCAGTCATAGAATCATGGAATCTCCTGCCTTGGAAGGGACCCACGAGGATCATGGAGTCCAACTCCTGCGACCCCTGTCCCTGCACGGGACCACCACAACGAGCTCACCCTGTGTCTCACAGCTGGCTTGGTGCTGTGAGCCTGTTTCAGTGCCTGACCACCCTTCTGGGCTCTGGTTCTTCACCCAGAAGGTTCTTCACCCAGAAAACTCTTCGCCTGGTTCTTCTGGACAGTTACAGGCTCTTCAGGAGGGGTAGGCAGGGCAGTGGGTGTGGCACTTGGCACTGTATGTGATAGAAGGGTCGGAATGTCTGGAGCTCCCAGTTGGCAATGGCACAGTTGGGAACCTCTGGGTAAGAATCAAGGGGCAAACAAATAATGCAGATGTCATCATGGGAGTCTGCTACAGACCTTCCAGCCAGGATGGTGACGCCGAGGTCACTTCCAAGTCAACTGCACTGGCTTCCAAATCAACATCCCAGGCTCTATTTTAGGCTTTGTGCTCTTCAACATCTTCATTAATGACTTGGATGCAGGACCTGAAGGGATGATCCTCGTGGGTCCCTTTCAACAGAGGAGATTCAATGTTTCTGTGATTCCTAATATATTATCTAAAACTCCCCTGACACAGTCCCACATGCATCCTCTAAAATCAGCATTGGGCTGCCACACCATTATCCCCCATTTCCCTTCTTGCCCCTTGTAAAGTTCCAGGCTCTTCACACAAGCTCATCGAAGGGTTTTTACACCAAAAAGACAAAAAGCTTCCAAATCCAATGGATTCATTAAAAGGGGTCTTCAATTCTTTTATGCTTCAAGGCCACACATGGGACAAACACTACGATGCTTCTCAGAGGGCCAAAACAGCATACTGGTAAACTTTGGAAAATAAGGGAGCTTTGTAAAAGCTTGGTAAAAGTCAACACAAAGCATTTCACAAAGCATTGAATTAGCAAATTCCAACCCACCCCAGCTTTAAGTTACCCAAATATTCAAAAAAAGGAAATTAGGAAGAAGGAAGAGGAAGAAAGAGAGAGAGAGAAAGAGAGAATTCTTGCTACCACCTTAGATCCAGCATAGATCCAGCTGCCAGAGATCCAGGAAGGGCCATGAACCATGCAGTGGCTGCATGCTGTTGGTTTAATTTGCTCTGGACTCCAGTGGAATGGGGCAGTGCAGTGTCTCCCCTTGGCAGAATTTGCCCTTTCCCCCAACCCCACCTAGGATAATTCCAAACTATTGATAACTTTTTAATAACTTTTTTTCAGTCCCTCACACCCCCTGCCCTTTCTTCTTTTGCATTTTCTTCCTTATTCATCTTGGATCTTGGCTGAGGCTTCCTGGGTTTCCATCCTTCCATGAACCTGCACTCGGTAAATGCAGGTGTACCACGGGTTTCCCCAGTTGCTCTTCACAAGAATTTTGACATATGAAAAGGCTCTGGGAGGCAGCACATCCTGTGAAGAGCAAAAATGGGAGCATTAAAAGCCACAGTGAAATCACCATGGAATCAGCAGCCTGGCAGCCCTCTTCCTGCTCAGGAGCAAGCTCCCAAAAGTGGGTGGGAGAAAAAGGGGACATCTGAGGCTTGCTGCTGGTGCCAGGGCTCCTGGGGAGGCTGGGGACAAGGGAAGGCACTTGGCATCATCCTCTGCATGCCAGCCTGGCTGGGGCTGCATCTCCCTTCCCTCTGCCCCTTGCTCTGTGCTGTCAGAGGGGCTGGGGAGGTGCTCCAGTGCAGCTGGTGTGTGACCCCACTGAGCTCCTGCCGTCCCCTCTGCCTGCCTTCCTCCTGGCAGGCTGAGAGCAGTGGCAGAGAAGGGGCATGCTGTGCTGGGAGGACACTGTCCCCCTTGTCAGCAGGTCACAGGGTGGAGCAACAGTGATGCCTGACAGCTTGTGCCACCACTCATCCCCATTTCTCCACGGCACGAGGTCATTGCTTGGGTGGAGTGGCTGCATGTGCATCTGGCAACTCAGCCCTCCAAGCCCCTCCAGGTCTCTGTCAAGTGGTCCATGACCCTCTGCCCAGGGAGGAAACCTTCCCACCCTTCCTGCCATGCACTTGCAGGTAAACCCTTTTTGCTCCCTGGCATCTGTCCCCCGTGCATGGAGTGTACCTTCAGAGGGAAAGTCTGCATGGGCTCTTTTTCCACGTTGTAGGTGAATGTCCCCAGGAGAGATTCCTCTTCTCCGTCTGCATCCACTCCCTCGGGGGCAAAGCATGAGGAGAGCAGCTCAGACCCATCCCAACAAAGAGGAAACCTACCTACCCAGCCTTTCCTGGGGCTCTACAGTAGTCTAGGACTGGTTAGGGTAGAGCTCAGGCTCGGTCAAGAACCCTTAGGTGCTTAGCCAGAACAAGTCTTAAGAAGGATGAACCTCTTGAGCCCTTGAAGTGTTGCACTTGGGCACTGCAGTGCTCAGGAGAGAGCCGGACACAAAGCTCAGAGGACACACAAAAGCAAGCAAGACCCTGTCCTGGCTTCCCCCCAGGCCCAGAACTCCACCAGGAGTGCCCAGCACTCCACCAGGAGTGCCCAGCAGACTTACAAAGGCAGCGATGTCTTTGGGGGCACTGATGACGGTCCCGCTTGGAGAGACGTCTTTGGTGATGTGCTGCACTGTGATGGCAGTAGGGTGGACTCGTGCTGGCAACTTGATGACCACCTGGCCCTGATGGCCACTGAAAGCCCAGCAGCTTCCTGGGGAAACATTTGGCTGCAACCAGAAT